ACTGTAGTCATGTGACTCGCTGACGCAACAATATATATATATATTGTTGTAACACATTTTATCATTGGGCAATTTCTTTTAGATTGTTTCAAGTCCAGTCCACTTAACAACAATGAATTAGTTTATTTATTATATGTATATATAACATTTGCTTCATGCTAAATTTGCCTACATGCAAGTTATAGGCCTTAGTTCACAAACAAACTTTTCAACATAAACTGTACAACAATTTTTTTGGTTAATACACTAACAATGTTTAACAGAAATTTCTCCAATTGATGACAGACTTGACTAACTTACTGATTAGCTTAACAGAAGCACTAACTCTTACTAAATATCTTTACTTGATCAAGAACTACTCAATTCTGCCATTCTTAATATTTCCCTAAATTCTCAATAACTGGGCTAACTACTCCTTCATTACTCATACTTATATCTAATGTACTAATCTAGATATTAGTTGAAGTGTTGTAATTATTATATCATCATCATCACAAGTAGCAGCTACCTCTAGCAAACATTTTAATGAAAACATCTCAAATATATTTTAAAACGTTGACCCCTTCCTAGATTCTGAAATCCTCTGAATAATCTTAATACAAGAATAAAAAACTTCACTAAACTGTCCATTCACCAAGTCATTTTGGAGGTTTCCTCTTCCAATGTCCATGGTGTGCAGGTGGGATGACTTCTTGTCCCTTACTGTCCTGTTTCTGGGAGAGTTCTTCCTAGTTAGATGGTTGAGCGAATACACTGGAGGCTCTATCTTTGTTTATCCTCTGGAAATGATCATGACAGGAACCCTGAGATCCTCAACAGGTTGATTTTCTACTTACAAACTCTTCCCTAGTTACCCATATAGTTGTTTTCTTATCAGCACACTTCTAGAGATGGTCACTGTGGATGACCTTTGAATTGAATTTCCTGTCCTTCTGAATTATGTAAACCACATCATTGATTATTTTCATTACAATGTATGGTCTTTCCGAACATCTATTTAACAGGAATGATTCAGCCATTTCATGTTACCTTGATGAAATCTGGTTGTATTAGCATTAACATCATAATGACATTTCATTTTATCACAAATTAATTTAAGTCTTTCTTAGCTAAAGTCATTTATGACATCATTATTCTTCAGGTTTACAACAGCTCTTCCAACCATCAGTCCCTCTGGACATTTGGGGGTGTTTGGTTCCATCATGTCCTAGTTATTCGATGTAGATTTATTGCTAACAACCACTGGTATGGGTATTTCACTTCTTGGTGATACAATGAACCACCCTCCTTGTTGTTACTGGAAATTCAATCTCTGGATTAGTAATTGCCATGTAGTACATAGTGATTTCCTGGTCATATACTATAAAGCTATTTTAAGCTAGTCTAGCCTCCCTTTCTGTGCATAAAGTCAATCCCCCCTTTCCAAAAAAAAAGAAATCTTAAAGCCAGCTCTTATTATTCAACTATTTATCAAGCTTTCCCTTAAATTAACTGCACCCACCACATCTGAAGCAACCCATTCTAGAAGACAACCACCTTGTTAGAAAAATAAAGCTGTTTTAGCTGAAGGTGACTTCTTTCCTGCCAAAATTTGTATTTGTGTCCCTTAGTCTTACCATTCTTATCACTAAATATGGAAAAACGATGATGCATCAACATTATCAAATCCCTTAATAATCTTAAACACCTCAATCAGATACCCTCTAACTCTTCTTTTTTCAAGAGAAAACAAGTTTAGAGATCTTAACCTATACTCATATGATAACATTTCCATCCCAGATATCATCCTAGTAGCCCTCCTCTGAACCTTTTCCAACAAATCAATGTCCTTTCTGTGGTAAGGAGCCCAAGACTGAACACATTACCCCAAATGTGGCCTAACAAATGACCTATACATTGATATTATAACCTCTTTAGACTTGTATACAGCATTTCTGTAGATACAACCTAAATTCCTATTTGACTTGCCACTAGCAATAGCACATTGCTTGGATGGTTTAACAGAATGATCAACCACTACACCAAGATCCTTTTCTTCTGTAACACTGTTAAGATTATTTCCATCCAAATTATACTCATAATTGAAATTGTGATATCTCACATTTATCATGTTGCATTTATTATAAGCCATCTGCCATTTATTTGACCAACTTGCCAAATAATCCAAATTATTTTGTAAGGCAGTAACATCTTCATCACAACCAGCATCATCCAAAACTTTAATCTAAGCACCAAATTTAAATAATCTATTTACCGTTCCTTCATCTATGTCATTGATATAAATCACAAAGTGCAAAGGTTCTAACACTGAGTCCTGAGGTACTCCACTCATGACAATAACTTAGTAACAAGCCTTTTATGTGGCACCTTGTCAAATGCCTTCTGAAAATCCACATACATCACATCTACACCTGTAGCCTCATAAGCAGTAACATCTTTAAAGAATGTCAAAGGATTAGTAAGGTGAGGTTTTCCTCTTGTGAAACCATGCTGACTATCCAACACAATTTTAAACTTTGTTAAATGACTTTGCAAAGCATCTTTTCTCAGACTTTCAAAACTTTTCCAACTATTGCTGAAAGACTAATAGGTCTGTAATTTACTGGGACAAGTTTTAACACCCCCCCTCCCCTTGATTAGCATTAGCTAACTTCCAATCTTCTGGCACCTGCCCACTATTCAAGGAGTTAGAAAAAAAAAAACAAGTGACTTACATATCCAATCCTTAACCTTTTTTCAAAATCCATGGGTGAATATTATCTGGCCAAGGTACTTTATCATGCTTTAAACTTCCTAGCTTTTTCTTAACAAGCTTAAAATTAATGTAATTATTTCTTCAACCTTGTTTCCATCTAGCAACTGTTCAGGTATAGAAAAGCTTCTACAGTAAGGGTAACTTCCAGCTTTCCAGTTGCTGGAACTTTATGTCCATCTGCCATCTCAATATACACTCTTCCTTCTATGTACTAATTACTCACACATCATGTTGTGTAAAGAAGATTTTCACAGTGAGGTTGACTTACAATTTTCTTCTTGCTGTTCACATCAATCCATTTTCATTTTTCATTCTCTTGAGGCAACTTCCAACCTTTAAAATCAGGTGCAATAATTGTAGCTGTAGGATCAGCATCAATCAACCAACAGCTAGGTTTCCATCAATGAATTTATGGACTCGTGGATGATTTTTCTCAAATAATAAATTTTTATATCATTTGATATAGATGAAATATTACCAGCTGAACTTCACTTCATAAGTCCAGCTAGTTCCTGTCTTTTTTTGTCTGGTTAACTCTTTGTTGTGCCTTTGAACTGAATTAGGCTCTGAGACACATCCGCAGGATATTGTCTCCTTGGCTTTATAACAGCTGTTGATTCTTTACAGTCTAGGCTGTAATGTCCATATTTCCCACAGTTATAACAGTTTCTCATTCCATACAGGCTTTTGTCTGCAGTTTGTGGCAGTATGTTCTTTCAAGTTACACTTGACTGAAACATCCACTGCACTCTGAAAAACTTCACTGATTTCTCAATCACTGAAAATTAACTTCTACTTCTTAACACATTACTCATAGTTATAACTACGTACCAACCTAGATATTAGTTCAAATTTTTAACTTATTGCATCATCATTATGATTAGCAACTCCCTCAAGAAAAAAAAAAACGTTTACACAATATATATATATATAAATCATTGGACCTTCAAGGGTCCAAGATATCCATTAATGAATCTTGAGTTACAACTTTTCTTAACAAACAGAAAACTAATTGCTAAATGGAGACCTAATCCCTCGAACATTTATCAACCCTTTTCTTAAAGTCTTGCAAAATTGCATTACAACCTTTACAATTCTTGATAGCAATTTGTTCCACAGACTTAACATGCTATTGAAGTAAAACTGGTGATGTGTGTCACATTTTCAAATCTTATATTTATGAACTTTTACAATTCTTGATAGCAATTTGTTCCACAGACTTAACATGCTATTGAAGTAAAACTGGTGATGTGTGTCACATTTTCAAATCTTATATTTATGAACTTTTGTTCCACTGTCCGTAGAATTCAACATTAGAAAATATGATATATAAAAGTTATTGATTCATTTAATAGTTTTGAATGAAAATGTTCAAATTTAAAAGAAATGAGAATATTTATCCTGGTAACAATTTTTCCATCAACTTCAAGTTGATAATTTCTTAAAGTTTGTAATCTCAGAAAAAATGCATTTATTAACACTTATTACTTCTTTGGAGTTATATGTTATCTTACCAGGCAACCATAGTGTAAGATGTAGTTAACCAAGTAATCATAGATTGACAATTTTGTTTCCTGCAAGTAAGTAAAATCATTTAAGTTTTCAAGTGTCAAATATCTATTAGGATCATCTCATCATTCATTAAACATCAGTATTTTACAAAAACATCTATATGACAAAAAAATTTAGTGATACAAAAGCTTAATGTATTTCTAAAGGAGCTTTTATTTTTTTATAAAAATAGAAAAAATTTAATTTTATAATATAACACAAGAAGACTGAAGGACAATAAACACAATCTTTCTGGTACATTTCAGCATAATGGACAGAAATATAAAATAAATTAGTAATTACACAGCTAGCTGCATATTATGTTCTGAGATTATTTGTTTGATCACCAAGATTACTAAGTTTACTATTTTCAGTTGACTGAAATAGACCAATCTGATATGTATTTGTGAGTATTCTCAGGTCATTTCTGTAATTTTACTATTCAATTTTGTTGAATTGAAAAAAAAAATGTATAAAAACCAGTTTAGTTGCTTTATACTGAAATGTATAACCAGGAAAAATTATATAACACTTCATTTAAAATACTAATATATCCATTAAATCATTTTCACAACACATTATATTATGTGCAATAACAATAAGTTGGTTTAATATTATGAAGTTTGCGCCACTGATGAACAAACCATAACATTTTGTGAAGATGTAATTCCTTTTTACATTTCTTCTAGGTTTATCAGTCCATGAGAGGGTGGTGTGGAGACCATGTCTAACTGTGGTAACCTTCTTCTGTTTAATCTGGGAAAACTTCAGGCTTATTGTACATTGACCCTTGTGATGTACTTGCTCCTTAGTAAGTAGTACCATACTATCAAAAAGATAGGTGCTTGAGTAAGGAAGCACATTATGCTAATATAATAATAGGTAGGCTAACAATGATTTAGAAGCATAAGGAAGCACATTATGCTAATATAATAATAGGTAGGCTAACAATGATTTAGAAGCATAAGGAAGCACATTATGCTAATATAATAATAGGTAGGCTAACAATGATTTAGAAACATAAGGAAGCACATTATGCTAATATAATAATAGGTAGGCTAACAATGATTTAGAAGCATAAGGAAGAGTTTCATTGATGGTGAAACATAGTATACGTTTCGACAGAACATTGGTCTGTCTTCTTCAGATATGATCAGTACTAAGCAATACAAGGTTTATATGTCATTACAAAGACATATGACACAGGGATTAAATGTCACAGAAATTGTGTCAGCAGGTGACAGGATATAGGTAGATGTTAAGTCTGATCAAGTGTATGAATGGTGAATAGACCTTGCCAAATATGGCTAATGTTGCTAGGGCCATTATCATGGTTTAGTGAGAGGTCGTTTGCTTTGATTATTTCTATACTTTCTAACTAATTTCTTTCTTTTTTAGTTTTTTCTTCTCTTACACCAACCCAAAACTAAAAAAGAAAACTTATTACAATCAGTAAAAACTGGATGATAAGGACATGTTGGTTCATACAAGCACTTTCCCATATAGAAGCAACTACTCAGACTTAAAATGTAAGCAGACTTTTTAAAGAACAAAACTTAACAACGTTTACCATCTTCTTTAAACCATTCTAAAAATAAACTATAGGAAAGGACAAATAATTCTGCCTTTGGGCTATCAAGTCATGAATGAATTTCATACATTCCACTTGTATTTCCAATCTAATTTTTCTATAAATTGGACAGACTTGTAACTGTTAGTTTGTTTAATCTCCTAACCTCTTTGAATTAAATATCCCATTAATACTTTTGTATTTCAAATGCTGAAGTCTAGCATCATAATAACTCCTGTATTATTTAAAGTGGGTCATGGGTTTGAATCCCATAACTGAACTTTCTTGCTCTTTCTGGTAAAGGGGGACTTTACTGTGACGATCAATCCCACTATTCATTAATAAAGAGTAGTCCAAGAGTTTTCTATCATTAGTACAGATAGCCCTTAGGTAGCTTTGTATGAAATTCAACAAAACAATTAAAAATAAAGCATTGTTTAAAACAGCATTATAAAACAAGCCAAACAAGAGTTATTTATACATTGGAAGGAAATCTTTACTCTTAAAACTGATGTAAATTGATCACAACACCTTGTGAAGTAGCAATTTCTATTTTATGTTTAAGTTTCGATTTTATTTATCATTAATGTATTTTCCCTTCTATATTTTGATTCAGCTATATTTTCATTTGCCTTAGTAAGTGCTAGCTTACCTGCTTCCTAGTGAACATTAATATTAATGAAGTCATTTTTATGTTAAAACACCAAATGAGGTTCCCTAGCAGCGATGTATAGATACTTAGTTCACATTGATTATTTAAAACAAATGTTAAGTAGCTAGTCATGTAATATGTAATCTCATGGTTTAGCAAGACAGTAAAATGCCTTAAGGCTTGAAGTTAGACTGACAAGAGAAAGAGAGGGGTGTTGGGCTAGAGATTTGTGAAAGTTTCATACATAAGATAGTTGATTTGTTTAATGATTCTATTGGATCTTGATCTTTTATATGTGATTTAACATTATTTCTTTGAGAACTGTCTAATATTGTTATTAACAATTTTAAAAATTAACTTCTGCTCCTTCCATTTCTTTATTATCCTTATTCATTATTATTATTATTTGTGATTTTATTATTCAAAACTTCACTTCCTTGAAATATTCTGTTTGTTTCATTTGGAGATTCAGTTATTTCTTTACAAACAGTTATTTGTTATTGATCGATTATATTTTATAAATTTTATATTGTGTTTAATAAATTGTATTTTTTGTACCATGGTAGAAACTGGTTGAGTTAACATGTTAAAACTATGTTTAATTTTGTTTTTACCAAAAATTCTTAAAGAATTGTAACATCTTGCAAATGTTTACTCACAGACTCTTTTCCTCTTATGTTTAAATTCCTTCAAATAGTGGAATTTCATTACAACTCTTATAATACACAAACAGTACCAAAGTTGAGCACAATTTTGCAGCAATGGGACATAAACCATGGACTTTCAGGTTCACAGTCCAGAATTCTAATCAGCAGGACATGTCTATCTCAGTTTCTGATTGAAAAGAGAACTAATTTTCTTGACTGTCTATAAAAAACTTGGGATAAACAATAGTGACAAAGATTAAATACTGTTGATAAGCTGTTCATAAACAACAGTAAATATAACATTTGCACTGATCAGTAAGGATTAAATTTGTCTTAAACATAATACAAGGAAAGCTTAGTACTAAATGGATGATAAAAACGTAGAAATGTAGCAAAGTGAAATGTTGACTGAGAAACTACTACTGATAAATTGAACTTTTTTTGGAAGATTAGTTATAAAGTGATTTGTATATATATTGAGCAACAACTTAACACAGCAGTGACTTTTAGGTAAGATCATATGTGGCATAGAATGTTGTGATATTATGGGTTGTTAATAAATAACATCCACAGTTGAGGAGGGGGTTAAGTGAATGTGAAAGATACAGAGAAGTAGGGAGGAAGGTCAATGACTGGTATCTTTTTTTGAGTTTTACTATCATTTAATAAATATATATATAACATTTTGATGTTTTCTTGGACTAGTATTTGTTAACTAAAATAAATGGTAATGGAGTCTTAGAAATTTAGGGGTTTTGAAAATATTTCTCAATGAAAAATAAAAAGAGAAATTAAGTATTAATAATTACTTCTTCAACCAAAAGTAGGTTGAGGGGATACCTTGCTTTATGTAACATCATACTTGGGAGGGACTAAAGTGTTGTTATATGAGTGAACAAAGGAGAGAGTGAAAAAAAGCCTAAAAGGTATGACATCATAAATGGAGAGCTTCAATCTAGTAAACCTCCATCATGATACATATAGTATTATATACCCCCTCTGCTGGTTCATATAATATCTTTGCTTTGTGTTATGCCTAGGAGCATAGTTACACTTTCAGTGATTTCTTTACACACTCATAATTAATTTTTACCGAAGTTGTGTGAAAAGATTGTGACTGTTTTATTGACTGATGAATGTATGCACTTTGTTGTCATTTATTGTATGTTCTGTTATGGGTGACATCTCATAAGTTTCTATAAATCAATTTTAAATGAGTATTCAATTTTTACAATAATATTAATTGAATTGAATATTTGTGTGTGTGTGTGCTGTAGTTTGAAGTATTTCAAATAAATAAAAAAATTAAATTACATGTATAGAAAATCCAACAGGAAGAATTTAGATTTTTAACAATTGATATTTCATATTGTTGACAGTGCTATTGTTAACTTCCTGGAAATGAAACTAATGTGCTGTTTATTGCTCTACGTCTTACATAACAGAAGTGTAATGGTATATCAAAAAATGTAATCAGACCTATTAAATGTTATGGCAGAAGTAATTTTTATTTATAATATTTTATAAAAATTGAAAACTTTCAAATTTTAGAACTGGTGTGCACTGACAATGGTTGAAAAAATTCAGTATGTTACAATTCCAAATTTATATTGTGCATGTACTGTTTTTTTTTCTTATTCAGTAAACAAACAAATATTTCATGATGCAGAATTGTGAAATAATTGCTGATTCATATGTCTCGTTTTATGAATAAGTGTGTGGTGATGTTTATTTATTGTTATATTTTAGCTTCATATACAATGTTTCATAAGTGTAAATAGTTCTTGTAAACACAATTTTGAATAAGTTAATGACAAATCTTAAAGTTAAGGATAAGTGCTACCTCACAAAAGAAGTATGTTAAACATTTTTATGAAAGTGATTAAGACATGGCCTTGTGGTTAGCATGCCTGGACTCTGAATGTAAGGGTTCACAGTTCAGGTTATGTTGGCAAAAATATTTGCTCTGCACTTTGGGGCTGTAGGTGTGCTGTATGAACAATGGTCAGAACAAGAGTTGTTGGTGAATACTGCTGACTAGTGATTCAAAATTAGCGATGGCTGTGCTCAGGTAGTTATTGTGTAGTGCTACATGAAAATTGTAAAAACCAAAACAACATACAAACAATTATGAAAAAAGCAAAAATATATTTAGAATAAATCTTGTCTTTAGTTTTTCTGAAGAGTTGTTTCTACTAAATGTACATTAAAATTTTAAACAATTACTTTATAGATTTATTACTTTTATCAAGGTGGTGAACTTAAGTCATGTTTTATATCATTTATGATTTCAGTGGACACCACAATTCACTTTATGTGGCATGATGTTTTCCAAAGTGACGTCCATGTTAAATATAATGTATGAGCATATTGGAAGAAAGAGGTACTTGAGAAGTCAATATGAAAATCCTCATAAAATCCCTGGAGAGACTTGAATTCATTTTTCTAGTAAAACAAACCTTGTTGTTGTGTTATGTATGTGCCTAGAAGATTATTGTTGTATGATATACACAAGTCTGTGATTGTGCAGAGTTGTCCAATATTTGATACAACATTTGTGGTTGTGAGTTGAAGGATGTTGTGGATCCTCATCTAACTTTCAAAGAAGCCTAAACTAAGATTATTGAGTGTGCTTATTGCATGTAAAAAACATGAAATATCAAAGCTACATGTGTGTTTCGCTGGTAGTCTTTTTCTTTTATGACTTGTGGCTAATGAAATGCAATTTGTATAAGTCAATAAATAAATAAAATATGGCTAGTGTTGCAATGGCCAGTTGAAGTTCAGATAACATAAATAGCACGATTGACATTTAAGACGAGACAGTCAGTACCATATTTCTTATAGCTTGATAAAGTATACTTGGAAGTTTTGTATATAAAAAGTATTAAAGATGGCATAAATAAATGAAAATAATATTACTAGAAATTGTCTTATATATTGCATTACTGAAAACTTTGTGTAAAGCAAGTCTGTGTAGCAAAATTTTATTATTAACAAAATTATGTCATTTAGTTTAGAAGAGCATGAGAATTCTTCTTCTCTAACTGAGACTGTTTTTTATTTGTAAAAATGAAAAGTGGCTTTAAAAAAGGTTCACATGTTTTTGTTTACATTATTAGGACACTGTTCTTTCATCAGGTTTAATATAACATATTTTTAGATTTATCTTTTTTGATTTGTTAATACTTTTATATATATTGGCAATAATAATACTCTATAATACATATAATAATAATATTCATATTACTCTACAAAATGCCACAGATCTTACAACATTTTTGATATAGTGTGATTTTTAAGGAAGCTTGCCAAAGCATGCATACTTTTTTAATATTATTTTCTGTTTGTGTATAACATTTCAATAACTTTAAATTGCTTCAGAAATAAAGTTGAAAAAATACAGATGAAAATTCTAATATGAATATATACATACATGTGAATAAACATATTACTTGGATTAATGCTAATAGTAATGTACTTGCTTTTCCCATAGATTTTGCTAGATTCATAAACTTTTATACTGATTTTTGATGTAGAAAAGTTTTTGTAACCAAAAAATGTTCAACATTTGAAAGTGAACAGCAGTGTACATTGAATATAAATGTATTGCAGTCTGTAATCAGTATGTCATTATTCCTGAAGACCTGTATCTGTTTGTATAAATTACTGTATGTATGTTTTATTTAAATGAAATAAATAAACTGTAATATTTGTTGCTGTTTGTACTTAATTAATTCCAGATTTAAAAATGAAGCCCAAACAGAAGCAGTGAGCTGACTATTTGTGGTTATTGAGTAACATCCTATGGTATTTGCGTGAAATACATTAACAGAACTAATTTTCCTTTATTTTTATGACTTGTTAGCTGTATATCATAACCATCCAGGCATTGCTATTTCATCTTTTCAAAAGAAATGAAGTATGGTCAGGAATATAAATAAATTTTTTAAGTTTTGATACATAAACTATTTGTATATATTCAGTGTACAAAATGTGTTTCAGCTGGCCCAGAAAAATCTGTAGCCAACTGTCATAGATTTTTAGTAACTTCACATTTAAGCCACAGGTGAATCCTATTGTAGTGTTTGAACATGACTTTTTCTAACATTCTCCATTGTCCAGCACTTCATGCTTATCTATGTGATGTTCAATGACTCCCAAAAGTATATGAAACTGCAAGGGAGCTTCTCAAGAAATTCCCCAAGATGCCTTAAATGAGCAATAATTTTTCAGCTTTGCATCTGTACTTTTAAACACTGAAAGAAAATAATTACTTACTTGTCTTTCTATGGCATAAACCAAAATAAGCTGACGTATATTTTGGCCTTTGCCATATTATTAAAACCAAATTTTTATATTTGGAGGCCAGGTCTAGTTAGATAGTTACATAGGAGTAAGATTTATTTAAAGATCTGTATATTCTTTGTATTATCTATTTTACAGATCTTCATTATAATTCACGAACATAAATTGGTTTCATAACTCAAGAGTTTGTTTCTTTGTCATATTCAAGCTTTAACCTCATTTTAGAAAAGGAAACTTTAATGACTTTACAATACACATCATACACACTAATTTTTACATCAATTACAAATCTGTACTTTTAATGTAGTCTTTTATTTTACAAAATGATTTCATTCTCCATGTATGTACATATCATTACAGTGGTAAACCTTACAACAACCAGTAGTACAACAAATTCCATGCTATCTAATGGAATTGTGGAAGAAAAGAAGTCTCTGTTTCTTTAGATCAAGAGTCAATGCTCTAGAACAGCATTTCTCAACCTTTTCAACAGTAATGACCAGCTTTCCTAAACTGTTGCAGACCATTAGAATGCAAGTACAAGAAAAAAATCTTTACAATTTACATATGAATATTCTGTCAGTTTTTGTGAAATCCCATGAACCGGAAAGGTGGTTTTGATGAACCGGCACTAGTGTGTGGATCAGTAGCTGAGAAACACTGCTCTAGGTTACTTGCAAAGATCAAATCTATTACTATAATTTTTAAACCTAAGTAAGAGCACAGAGTATGTTTCCACTGACCCACAAAGATTTATAACTATTTAGCTAATTGTCATATATTTTCAGTAATTTTACATTTAAGCCACAGGTGGAGTCTACTGTAGTGTTTGAACAAGACATTATTCAATGTCAGACTACTATAAATAGTACTGATGTAAGTTATGATTGTGAGTAAAATAACTATTTCTATAGTCTCCTTTGATGTAGAGTCTAGTGAAACACATATCATGGGAAAGTTCTGTTTAGGAAAGGATAAAGTTTAAATATTACAGCATCGTCATTTATTTTGCAGTGTGGTGGGAACATGCCCTGAAGAAGTTGCAATGTCAAATTTTTATAAATAGATAATTTTTCATTGAATATATTATCATACTGATGTCTAGTAGGACATTTCAGTTAGCATTACAAATAATTAAGCCTTGAGATTATGAAGATTTCTTAAAAATCCACAGCAAAAAACAGGTTAAAGCTCAATTTGTAAAAGGTTAACCAGTTTATAAAGTTATGAAGATGTCATCCTTTTTGTTTTTAATTACTGATACAGCATATTAAAGTAACTGGCAGTATTGGCTTTATTACATGGTAGGTAACACAGGACAACCACAGTAACATAAAAAAGTGATTCAGAAATGAACTAACTGTAGTAACTGGTATGATAGTAGGCGACTGTAACAGATATGACTGTAGAGGCTGTAGTAGCTTGTATGAAAATACCACACGTGGTAAAAAAACTGAATCTGAACAACAATGAAACTGTTATTTTTACTAAAGACAACTATTCATCCACAATTCCTTCAAGATGTGACGTAACTCAAACTTTGGCACTTTTCAGGACAAGTCCTAAGTACAAGTTCAACAAAATTTACAATTATACAGATTTTCCTGTAACTAGGTTTATGTAATGTACTCATGACTTGAAAAAATTGAACATCAGAGATGTATCTATACACATTATTAATAACTAAATCAATAATCACAATTATACAAGCTAGATAATTACAAGATGAAGGGAAAAAAAGGTATTGGGAAAGGCAGCATTTTATTTCTGGAAATTACTTATATTATGGTGATCTTTCCTGATAATTATTGTTTTGTTGTTCAAATATTCCAGAAACAATTTACACATGCACACCCACATATATATATACATGTATATAACTGACTTGTTAGATTTGACTTTAGCATGCAACAAAACGGAATTATTATACAGAAATTATAAATTTCACATAACTGTTCAGCTAATTTATATATGTATTTTTTCTGATGAAACCATTTTGGATTTACCACTATTTTTTGATGTAATTACGGTTTCCACTATTTTCAAATTAGAAGCCACTCAGAATCATTTATTCAAAAGTATGAACAACAAAATAATCTTGGGTAATGGCACTTAATAACAGATAAAGTTACCAAACCTTCAAAGGCCTCTGATGTGCATATTATACAACTGTTGGAGTTATAATTAAGAACATGCCAAACATCATGAAAATGAAGAATATCCCCACCTCCCCCAAGTTCAGCAAAATTACATACAAGTAATATCAACTGCCAAATTTTCAGTTATGTCATCAACATTAGAATAAATAAGAAACCTCAGTTTTCCTCTGATTACAAGTAGATATGCTTACATGTGTACAGGTGGTTGCTTATTTTGTAATCACAACATTAAAACAAGGTGTATCAACTGATTCCTAATGTGATGAGAAACAACCATTCTCAATACCTAATATCACTAATCTCTTAATGATATGCAAATATTCTTCTACTAATCAAAAGCTTGTCTGCCACTTTTTACCAAACTTCTAATTATGTTCACCTCGAAAATCAGCACAGACTTGAGCACTACCACAAGGTACACTAATTACATTTTGTTTTTAGATTATTGCAAACACTTAATTTTGGCACATCATAACTGTGTCTTCCTTATAATTATTGTCTAAAACCTTATATAATTCTGAGTAAGAAGAGGAAACCAAGTACTTTAGCCCTTTTAAATCAGCTTCTTCCTGCTGGGCATTAAAATTCAAGTTTGCACAAAAGTTTTCATTTCTTTATTGAACCAATGTATCATGCTTCATAGCATTTCACTGATTTTTTAATAGAATTATTGAGTAGCTATTGTGACCACTTCTCATGTAGTGGGATCACTCAACAGCAGTGTCCTAGCACATACCATTGTGCTGTCATCATCTTAGTATTTGTGGATCACACTTGAAATACCTTGGTTTCCTGGGTGTCACCTCAAAATTTCCCAGTATACTTAGGATCTGTGTAGTTCACATCCACATGACAGGTGTCTAAAGAGAAAGAGAAATTATAATGTTTTGAGAGAACTATCATGTGCACACTATGAAAATAATGATTTTAGACTGATTCAGTAATCATGCAAGCACAGCTTAGTCTTGAAAAAAGGTTTGTTGTGTTATTTTTAATTATATTTTCCTTTATTTGGGAGGGGTTGCTATGGTACATGTGGTATGTATACACACACACCTTGGGGTTGAATGGTTTAGAATAATATAGTTTTGAATGTTTGAAATTTACACATTAACTTTTATTGGAACATTAAATACTTTTCATCAGTATTTTGAAATGTAAAAATAAGTATTTCTTTGTAAAAAAAACTTTGCCGTAAAAGTATTTAATCATGCGGTGCATTCAAAAAGAACTCTTTTAAGAACTGCTTTAGTAAACATGCTATTTTATAAAGTGAAGGGATGTTCAGAAAGGAACAAGTTTATTTTACAATAAGTTGGATATGAATGAACTGCAGCTGATGAATGACCATGGCATCCTACTTATATTTTTCCACGATAGGAAGTTTAAGTATCTTGCATGTATAGAAAAATGACTTTTGTTAGTTACATTCATTTGATGGTGTATTTACTGCCAGTGCCACCATCAAAGCTGAAATCTATACTAGGAAAGCAATGAAGTTTGCTTACACTAAACATTCAAGCAATAAAAATATCTGATGTTGTCTAGCACTATGTTAAGTGCCAGGTCCTATATTTCCTCATTGTGTACGAGATGATACTAGGAAGCTCTTTTTCAATCCCCATGACTTCCGTCTTTTTACCTCCTTTCAAAAATGGTAGTGGACAGCATTTCTAGACAACTGATGATCTTAAAGTAGCTGTTTGCAAGTATATTTCCAGTACTATCTTCTGCAATTTACTGAACTGGTTTAATTAATGAAGCTCACAAAGTATATGATTAAGGTTTTAATGATAGTTAGAGGTTTGATATACACTTGGATGATACTTTTATTAAAAAAAAAAATTGCAGACAGTAGGACTAAAAGACAAAAGTTTAAGATGTGGAAAACTCAGGTATGACTCCAGTTAAGGTGCCTTCAGGTGTGGTAGAATCTGCAACAGTGAAGGAGTTTAAGAGAAAATTAGATAGGTATTTTAAAGGTAAGGGTTGGATATAAGAAAAGGAGTTTCTAAGTACAGTTTGGAGTGGGGTGTTAGTATTGAAAATGAGATAGTCTAGAAGGAACAAATAGCTCTTTGTTATATCCATTGGAATTATAAGAAATGAAACGTATTTTAATTAATAATGACTATGTTTTGAAGTGATGTCTGGTTTCTTAACACCATTAGTTGCAATCTAATACAGTGAATTCCCATTTCTTTCTGAACACCCTTCTACTATTATATACAAAGCATTTAACTTTTTCTGATACCAGCATTCAAGATTTTGATTTATTGAGGTTTTTGATTGATTAACTTTCAAAAACCACATAAAATAAATAGTAACCTCTACTTGGGGTGGAAACACATTGTTTATTTAATCATGTGAACTGGAAAGCAATCGAAAAGTCTACCTTGTTCGGTAATTCTAAGAAATCATGAATGAAAACAGAGAAGAACAGATAAGAATATGTCAACCACATAATATGACCCAATAGGGTGGCTGAGATATGAAATAGTAGTTGTCTAGATGCTAGTTATATCACAATCTGAATAGACAACAATTGTCGTGTGAACTAGATTACATGAGTGCAGTGTGATGACTATCAGTTTTATTTAAGTCATTTACAAATCAGAATTACAGTAAGGTTTAATAACACAATATTATTTATACATTCAATTTTATTTTTAACACAAATTATTTTTACTTTATTAACTTTACACTACTTCATAAACACCAGTAAGCTAGTCTTCTTGTTTGTAGGGACTATGAATGCTTTCATATTGTTACGTCTGTGTTCATTTGTTAATTTTTCGTAGAAATTCTTTCCGGGAAACTTCAGCGATACACATCCTTTCTTAAATAAAACTAGTTTATTCTTTCTCAATACAACTTTACAATACACTTAATTTCTACAGTCACTTCAACACATGCTATAATTCTCAATGAACGATTCATACACTTTACTTACTACCTCGCTTGACTCAATTGTCTGCCTATATCTTCAATCTTTCTGTCCGTTATTCAATTCCATAATTGTCTCGCTTTATCTGGTGCATTTATATATAAGAATAGAGGGCACCTAGCAAATACTGGATTATTCTTGATGTTCCTGATCGTTATAGAATCTCATGGAGTGTTACTAGCGTCACATGACTTCTGCTGTCGTAACACTGCCCTTCCTTAGTATTTTTCATCCCAAACAATAGCCACTTACATTAAACCAATAGATAATTAACAATAACTTAAATAAATGTACAGAATTTACAAACACTACAAACATAAAATTAAATTCAACAAAGTCTCTTAATTTTATGGGACGTATCTTCTTCCGTACTGGTCTCCATCTCGCTGGCTTCTGCATAACGTGAAGTTCATCTGCTCCATCGGGAATTGTCCTATCATCGGTAACAGTCACATCAGTGATAGTAACTTCATCAAGGGCTTCACTGTTTCCCTTCTCAAAACCGAGTAGAGTTTCTTCTTCGACAGTGGCTTTTTGGGGTGACACGTCTTCAGTGGCGTCATTTGTTCTGTTGTTCACTTTGTCCCAAGTGAAATGTCCTGGACCGTGATAACGCCGAAGCCTGTTGGCATGCACCACCTTTGGCTTACCTCGCCGACCACATTTCATTTGGAAAGTCACGTCTGAGAGACGATCCACTATGTCATGTGGGCCTTCCCATGGAGAAGACAACTTAGGAGACTTCCCTTTGGTCTTCCTGTGATTATACAACCACACCTTGTCTCCTGGTACAAAGCTGACTTCGGTAGATCTCTTATCATAACATAGCTTCATGGAATCAGCAGACGTTTTCAAGTTTGAACGCACTTGATGGTGAATATTATCCATCCTTTCCGATAACACTTTCACGAACTCTGACACATATTCAGGCAACTCTTCGTAAGGTGGGCGTCCTGTTATCAGATCCACTGGCAACGGAAGTTCCCGACCAAACATTAGCTTTGCTGGAGTGTATCCAGTGGCTTCATGCTCTGCTGTTCTAGAGCCCATCAACAATGGAGGGAGTAAGACATCCCAGTCATCTTGGCAGCTATTTCAAAACTTTGCCAATTCTTGTCACAGTGTCCAGTTGTACT